GACACAGACATTTTTACCACACACTAAGGTGCTAAGCTTGTAAAGTGTAGTGCACATTAAGGACGTATGATTAGGAATGATGCTATATTTGTTATACATTGACATTATTCCTCTATTAAGGAAATAAATAAACTCAAAATGTATTAGTTATTCTTTTAAAAAATGATAACAAGCAGACCAGTTATAATAATAGGTACCCAAATGTCCTCAAGGACAAAGACACCTCTCTTTGCCAGCATGGACCATCATATGTAGTACATCAGAGACATGGAAAGGGCTGTGATCCCTGCCTGCTTTACTTTAGAATTGCAGGTTTCCGCTTACTTTTCTCTTCCTTCTCAAGAAACTCATGTGAAGTACATCAAAACACATCAACAGTGAGAGAAACAACTGAATTATAGTTACTGTTATTAGTTAGAAGAAAGAAAGCAAATTCTTTTCTTTGGTACTCTGCGTAAACGCTGCTGCATAGACATTGCTGCTGAAATCTACACTACAAGCGTTGAAGCATACATTACAAAGGCTATGGTGCCTGATAATAAGCTCACAGAGGCCATGTCTTAATAGGCTGCCAAGAAAAGGTCCGTGTCTTTTGTTCTCCCAGAAATCAGTCCTCTCCCTATCAAACTGCCCTACACATCCAAGTTTATCCCTTTGTCACTTCCATCATGTGAGGGTCTCAGCATAGTCTTCATTCTGGTTTTGGGATGCATGTGTGTCATTGTTCATTCCAGCACCATTCCTGGGGGAGCCTTCCTGTATAGAAAAAATGTAATGTCTCCCTGCAGTGTCACCATTTATATAACCAAAATATATATTTTATTTTATTCCATTATGGATTGGTTTATAGAAGCATATCAAATGATTTACTTCAGCTCCACATATAATGTCTACTGAAAAAGCAAAATACAGGATTTCCTAATAAATTTTTTTAAATCTAGCTTTACTTTTGGTCTGCCTGGTGGACATCTTGCTTTTGTAGTTATATGTTCATACATTCAATCTCCCCTCCTCTTTTTTTCCTGGAAGAAAATACTTTTGTCCTTCGATCTGTTAACCTCCCTTGCTTGGCTGACACTTCCAACTGGAAGAGGTTAAGTTTAGTTTACAGTCAGAAGGCTAAAACTTGTCTTCTATCCTTTTCCGTTTTAGGGAGTGGGAGGAAGCCCAGGAATGAGAAGGGAAAAATAATAGTAAGTGTTTGATATTCCTGTTTCCTTAGAAAAGATACCAATAAAAGAGTATTTTAAAAATGAAAGCCAAAGAAGTAAATACACTCAGCACTGATCTGATATTTCAAGCCCTCAGATTCAATAACCATTCAGAGTCAAGTTCAACAATCCACTTCATCTTAGTAGCCTTATTTTTCAGAAGTGAAGCACCAGTTGCCCATGAAACACTTCAACAGTTGGACCACAATTTCTATTTAAAAACAAAATCAAAAATACAGAAAAATTTGTGTTACCCAGCCCACTGCATCTATGTAACAAGGAGTAAGCCTTAATGATTTTAGTCAACCATATTGTATCTAATATATTAGCAAATGCTAACCAGCCATTTTGACAATTTGATGCAAAGTACATGCAGAAATATCTACATTCCATGATTTCATGGAAAATCTGGAAGTTGCTGAATTCATATTTATTCTAGAAAATAACTTAAACATTGGAAACCTGAAGTTGTCTAAAGGAAACAGGAAATCAGATAGAAACAAGGAATTTTCATTATTAGGTTCAATGAGAAAGACAAGGTAGGTGAGGGAATATCTTTTATTGAACAAACGTCTGTTGATGGATTGTAGAAGTTATCAAGTTCTTAATTTAGAAGAATACATTGGAGACTTGACAATGGACAATTGCATAGCCATGTTCTGTACAGAGTAGTCTGTATCACTGAAGTCTATTTTTTAATTATTTTAATGAACAATTTTGCTGTCAGAGGAAAGGAGGACTCCTAAATGTGAAACCAAGCAAATTACAATGATATCCTTGTTCAAGCTTGGTGGTATGAGCTGCTAGACCTGTCTTCCTCACTGGTAAGCTCAGTGTAATGTCACCAGGTACCAAAAGGCAAAATAAGTTAGGCCACCCTAAGAAGCCAGAGGTCCTAGTGAGAGCGGCTCCCAGAGACACCAGGAAACACTGATGCCTGCAGAGCTCTCCCAATCCAGGGGAGAGAAGGACCATGGTAAAAAGTGGCATCAGTCTAGGGAGGAGCCAGTTGGATGCCACAGCTGGCCTGAATTAACAAGCACAGCCCAAGAAGGAAGAGTGTGGGCCTCCTGTGCCAAAGAGAGAAAAGCCTGACAGGAAGTCTCCTTAGCCCCAAAGAGGAGGGAACGGAAGACACTTGAACCTGAGGGAGACCCTACAGGCCAGGGAGGCCAGGGCTGAAATTCCCACAGCTTCCAAGAGGTGACTGAATCAATCTCCACCCTGAGGAGAGGGGGGGGAAGAGTCCCAAAGTTAGGAAGCCAAACCTAACAATTTAGCTTGCTAATTAGACTAAAACAACTGAGACTACCTTTTTGATCTATTTACAAGGAAAAGCCGAAGAAGTCAGCAGAACACTGAAACCCCACCCTAAACCACAAGCTGTAAGAAGAAACTAAAATGGTGGCAGTCTGGCAGTGCCTTTTATGTCCTCAGTGAGGTGCATGAGGAGAGTGAGGGTGCATGTGTGGACCAAACAGACACTCCAAGGGAAAAATTCTCTGGTCCTGGGCACATGAGCAACCTGAAATGCACTACACAGAGACAAGCAATCGAAGTTACAAAATATGAAATTAAAATAAACTATTACAATTCAATTCAATACACAACCATTTGTTCCATTAAATTACAAGGGCTGCAAGTCCGGTAAATTCATAACAGTTTGTAAGGCTTGTTTAACTCTTGCCTCCATTCCCATGGAATGATGGCTCATTAATGTGTTAGCTTTTATAACATCCAACATACAATGTACTGCAGAATATTTGGCCAACTTCAAATTCAACCAAATATCAAGATGATGTTTTAAACTGCCTATTCATCAATGACATCAGCAACAGCAGTCCTCATACAAAAAAGCGACTAGTAGCTTAAACCCCCACTTGATTCTGTGATGGGATTAAGACATACAACCAGTGGCCTGGATAGTAAGCTGGTACATAAGACACAAAGTGAGGCTAGCACTATCATGGACACGGAGTCCTTTGAAGCCGAAACACAGTACAAGCTATTTAACACTAAACTTTCTCCACAGATGCTGAACAAGACTTATCTCTTAAAGCAGGGGTTCTCCAACTGCATTGCACCATGACCCTCTTCTGACAACAAAAATGACTACATGACCCCAGGAATGGGGGACCAAGCCTGAGCCTGCCCAAGCCCTGCCATCCTGGCCGGGGACCGAAGCCAAATCCCAAGCTCCATGCCCTGGGGGAGGGGTGAGAGGGGGGCGCAAAGCCAAAGCTCCAGGGCTTCAGCCCCAGACGGGGGGCCTGTAATCTGAGCCCCGCTACCCAGGGCTAAACCCCTCAGGCTTTGGCCATGGGTGGTGGGGGTTGGGTTTCATCTTCAGCCCGGGCCAGCAAGTCTAACCCCAGCCCTGGTGACCCCATTAAAACGGGGTCCTGACCCACAGTTTGAGAACCGCGGTCTTAAAGGTAAAAACTTGGGGACCTACAAAGTTGACTTTGAAGGCTTGCATTTAGAAGTTGGGTTAACCTGAGTAAATTGTGATTCCTCGTTAGCATGATGTAACATCTGCATATTTAACAGATGTTCTTACTTTAGGCTCTTTCCTCCAAGTCTAAATTTAGCTATGTTGAAAACAATTTGCCACTTGCTAGTCTGAATAGTCAAGGGTATTTCCAGGTGGAGGACAGAAAAAATAGGCTGAATAATCTACTATGCCAGTGCACCTCTGAATGTTAGAAAAACATTTGCACCAATAGTATTCACTAATCCTCTTGGTCCAAAATGCCTGATGAACTTGAATCAGAAATCAAAAGCTATGGCTTGCTTTGAAATGTTCATAATACACACCACTAAAATACTGTTTCCTACACTGGGCTTAAGCAATGCCATTCCCATTGCTATTAATGGAAACTGCTTGACTAAAAACGTGTGCAACTCTACAAGTTTAAAGGATAGGTAACTGAGGAGTACAAGCTTTTCTCCTATCTCACTCTCTATCTAATAGAATGAAATGTGTGTGTCTAATTTCTGAAAAATGCAAGAAAAGCCACATGGCCCAGCACCTGATAATGTCCAACTTTTCTTGCCCATTTTAACAAAAACAAAAGAACCAAAACACAAAAAAGGTAAAGTGACTGGTTAATCTTAGAGATTAGAGTAAAAACTATGTTTCTGCTTGAATTTAATAATTTATAATACTTAACAGAACTCTTTTCAATCTGTTTCAAGAGTGGTATTTTCCAAGAGTTAAAAATATTAGCTTTTGCACTCATCACTGAAATGATCTATCTTCATAGTGTCATTCCCCAGGTCATTTTACCACCAATATTGTAAGTAATTAATAAATATTAGAAGCTCACCTTTCATTCACTGCTTTTAGGAGTAGCAAAAATTACAACAGCAAGAGGACTGCTTTATTAAGGTTGTAGAAAAGAATACAGCACCTATTCATAATTTACTAGTTTGCCACCGACAGAAATTCACCTCAATTATATTTTTAAAATGTATATACTTGTGCTTATTAATTAAAATGAAGGATTATTGAAAACTTACTTTCTAAAAGCACAGAAACATTCTGAATTATTCAATACATTAGTAAGATCAAACCACCAAATTACAAAAACATTATCATACCCTAATTTTTTCAGAAGTATATATTTGTGCTGAGATTTTGAAAGAAAAGCTGCTGTTCTACTGAAGAGAGTTTAGTTGACATTTTGGACAAGATAATAAAATGCAAACAGGCACAGACCAATTTATCAGGCAATTTTTGTCCTGTGATTTTTTTTTAATAGATTTTTTTGATTTTATAGATTTTACCTGAGTAGCTTTATCTTTCATGCATGAGGGGTAGTGTACATGGGGATCACGAGGCCATTGTCCTGTGAGATAAGGTCCTGTTATTGTGTCCAAAGAAGAGGTTCGCCTTATGGTACCAGAGGTTCTAACTTGCTGGGATTTTGGCCTGTCCACTGCAAAAAAAATAAAAAGGTTATTCAAGATTTGATATGAAACATAACAAGCCAGGTAAAACAAAAAGTTATAATTTAAGTAGTTTACCCTTAGCTTTAAGCATGGGAAAAAGATGTTTAAGCAAAAGGGTTTTTGTTTAAATTGAAAACTGTCCTCACATCAAAATCATTTCCCCCTTTAAGTTAAGGTAGTGTTTAAAATGGCCAAATTCATAGTTTTGTAGCCCACTTTTAAAAGATTACTATATAATAAGACAGCCTTTCAAGCCCTAACTAAGAAGAAATTTTGGGAAAAATGTCAAGGAATTTTCTCCACCATCCCCCCAGTACTCAGATATTGTCTTGCATCATAGGTACTCAAGATTTCCATAAGAATCTTATGAAAACCTTAAATGAGTAATAAGTTTATATTTTGTATATCTTCTTTATAAACATAAGATGATGGTGACACAAGTTTATTTCTTAATTTCAGTTTGTTCCCATTTTTATTTCACTGCAGAACTTTCAATATTTCCAGCCTTTTGCTACCTTGGGTGTTTTGAGACTATTGATATTCTTCTGTGGCTCCATCCACCCTTTCCTGGAATAATGCTCCTCCTCCAGGTCTCTAACTGAAAGTAAGGTGTGACTAATCCTCTCTGAAATCTGAGCAGTAATTTTTTATTTATTTTTTTTTTCAAACAAAAAGGTTACTGATAGATCCTTTAAAATTAGGTTTCAGACAATGCCCTATCTGACAGCACTCACACAATATACAGGTGAGGTTATCTCACATCAGTGGAAAGACGTCTAAGATCTGTAGTAGCTCTGCCTTTCACACAGTGGATCACAAGGTGCCACTCAGGCTATGTCTACACTACCGCGGTAAGTTGACCTACACTACGCAACTCCAGCTACGTGAATAACGTAGCTGGAGTCAACATACCTTAGGGTCGAGTTACCGCGGGGTCTACATCGCGGGGGGTCAACGGGAGAAAATCTCCTGTCGACTTACCTTACTCTTCTCATCGGGAGGTAGAGTACCAGGGTCGACTGGAGAGCAATCTGCAGTTGACTTGGCGGGTCTTTACTAGACCTGCTAATCAACCACTCGTGGATCGATCTCAGAGCATCAATCCCCGCTGTAGTGTTAGACCAGCCCTCACACTCTATTTTTGGGATTTGGCAGAAGGAATTACTTTAAGTTAACACCACTCATTCCATTCAAAGAGATCCCAGTGATTATCAATGAGTACCTTTAACTTCCAAGGCCCTGACAGGCAGAGCACCACAGGGAATCATCATATCACATCTAATTCAATTAGAAGAGTAAGTAGGGAGAGCCCAAGATGCCACAGGCTCAGATGCAATCAGTATTTGGAAAGAAGATCTAAAGTATCCTTTCAGCTAAAATATACCAATTCCCTCAAGCACTGTGCTGCTAGGGGAATTGTAGGTCTAGATGAGGAGCAGCTAGCTATAGCTTGCTCCAGGCATGACTGATGTGATTCTGGAGAAAGGGCAAAACATTTTCATAGAGTCTTAGAATTTAAGGCCAAAAGGGATCATCAGATCTTCTAGTCTGACCTCTGTATATCATAGGCCGCCACCACCACCCTGCCTCCACACGCTAACCCCAACATATAAAATTAGACCAAGGTATTATAGTCCTCAGGAGGCTAAATTTGTGTGGCACAGGCAGGGAGTAAGATAGATGGATCAGTGCCTAAATGGCAGGGGATTAAGTGAGATATAATATCCAGATGATCCACCCCCACACTGCAGAAGGTGGGGAAAACAAAACAAAACAAAAAAACAGTCACTGCCATTCTGGCTTAGGGGAATACTCCTTCCTGATCCCACATATGGCAATCAGTTAGACCCTAAGCAAGAACCAGCCTGCCTAGCACCTGAGAGAGAAAATTATCAGTACCACCACAGATCACTGAACATTGCATTGGCTACCAGCAGAATTCTGGTTTAATTTCAAGGTCCTAGCCATCTTCAAAGACCTGAATGAACTATGGCCGAGTTATCTCTCCACTCTGTCCATATTAACATGCTCAAATAAATAGTGCTTTGGCTGACTGAGCCAAGGTTTCAATTCTTCCTTCAAAACAAGGTATTTGTACTTTATGTAACTTGGAAAAAAAAATCTGTTATATGGTTATTCCCCTTCTGATACAGGCTTCTAGTCCAGTACAAGACGGTTGAGCTTTGTCTCTCTCACTGCAGATACTGGAAGCAGTTCACACTTGGTCACACTCCTTCTACTCTCACAACAGATGAATATTTCTAAAGCTGTACAAAACGTGTAAACTCATCAGGGTAGATAAAAATCAATGATTTAAAAAAAATCAGATGTTTTTTATTAAATGCTTTTTGAGGAAAAAACGATCTAAAGATATTTTTAATTAGGATACATTATAGCTCAAAGATATCTCATCATGGAATAGGGATTATAAATTCTAATTCTATATTATGAGACAATATATTCATGTAATGTTTAAGAAAAGCTTTGTAAAAGAGTTCATGGATTAGGGACCCAATCTTATGGTGTTCCGCAGGCATCTGTATAGATTATTTAGGTTAATCTTTCTATCTACCCAATGGGACTCAGTGCTCAGTCTAGAAGATACCATCAGAGATACTAAGTTTTGCAGTTCTCAAACTGTGAATTTGTGTCTCCAGAGATAACATGCCTGTTGTTAACAGCAAAAATGTTTTAAATAAAGTAATATATAGAGGTGAGAAATAACAGACCTCAACCCTATTGTCCTTCTGCAAATCTGTGTACAATCAATCCCTTACCTCTCTCTAAAAGTGCAAAGTTTCAAAAAGTTCAATGAATAGAGGATTGTTGAGGCAGAATAGATCTGGACAAGGAGAAGAAGTTTGGAGATAAATGTGAGAAGGGAGGGACAGGCAGTAGAAACGAAAGTGAAACTGTTTGAGCAGCATATTCCAGAAGTCTTGAGGTCTTTCTGAGTGTGGCCTTCATTGATTTGAGATCTACCATACCATTCTCTCACTAGAAGGGAAAACCTATAATGACAGCAGGCCATAAAAGTGACCCAGTTTGCGAATCTTTTAATTAAGTTCCTCTACCTGTGGATAAGACAAGCATGCGTGCAAAATGCAAAAAGTGCAACAAAGAAATGCAAGGCCTGGCTGCCCGAATGAAACATCGTAAGTGTTCCTTCCCAGGAGGAAGCTGTGTTGAAGATGATGAAAGGAATACATCTGAACATGCAGGATTTTCAGGTTGGTAAACTTTTTTATTTCATACTTCTTTCTTAAGGACTGCTTGTCTTCCTTCTGGACTATTCTTGAATTCTCATGTTTGAGCAAAAAATATAGTTGTTATTCCATGATACTATCATTTTAGATGCAGTTTTGATAAAAAAATAGCAGAAATAGATAGATCTTCCTTTTACAATTTCGCCTTTAAAGTAGTAGTGAGTGTCAGTGAATACAATGAGTAATACTAAATGAACAGTATGGTAATAATAATTAAATAACTGCATTGACTTATTTTGTTTAGGAGAATCCATCCTCCACATACAGGATTCTGAAGACTATCCACCTTCAAGATCACCATCATTTTCTACAGTTTCAGAGTTATCTGCCAATGATAGTGTTTCGCTCACATCGTGTACGTCACATAGCCACAGTATATTACCTGTAGCAAAAAGAAAAAAAAATCATCTCCATCATCCAGAAACAACCATAGACAAATTTGTGATAAGAATCAGCAGATTACAAAAAGAGGTAATTGATGAAAAAATTGCCTGGTTTGTTTATGCAACAAACTCTCCTTTCCATATGATTGAAAACCCACACTTCATTAATATGGTTCAGTCATTAAGACCAGGATACAGTCCACCCAACAGAGCAGATGTTGCAGGCAAATTGCTAGATAAAGTGAAGGAAAGAGAAATTGAGCAGTGTGCAAAAGGTCTAGAAGCTGAAATTGTGAACCTGAGTCTTGATGGGTGGAGCAATGTCCACAATGATCCTATTGTATGTGCTTGTGTGACATTCCCTTCTTCTGTTGTATCAATTGTTTCTGTAAGGAAGACATCAGAAAATGCATACACAGCAGAATACTTACAAGAAGGAGCAGTACAAGCTATAATAAAATGTGAAAAAAAATTCAAATGTCTAATACGCAGCTTGGTCACAGACAATGCTGCAAATGTATCCAAGATGAGAAGAAATTTAGAAGGAGAGTCCCAAGCTACTAACATATGGTTGCAGTGCTCATTTGATGCACCTCCTAGCCAAAGACTTCAATGTTCCAGAAATAAAGGCTAATGTTGAACACATGCTGAGTACCCTGAAGCCTATTTCTGCAGCCTTGAACAAAATGCATGGAAATAGCTGTTTTATTGCTGATGCTGTTGAAATTTGGAAGGAACTGAGTGAGATCTTAAAAATAGAAATATGCAATGACAGAGTTAAATTACAAGCATTTTAAAAAAAAATGGGAAAGTCACACCAGTCTTCCTGACTAGTGATTTAAATCATGATTTACATCAATTTGATTTAAATCAAATCCACCCTGAAACTCATACACAGATTAAGTAGAACTTAATAATGGTTTATTGAATTATATTAACTCTCTGAAGAGGCCATCAGACTGAACCTGAAGAACTTTTCAAATGAAGAAGACCTCTCCCCAGTTTGAGACAAATGAGATGTAAAGACCAGTAAGGTAAAGTTAGTAAGAAGAGCCAAAAACAGAAAGATATAAGTTCCACCATCACTAAAATTAGTAGTATTAGTCTATTTTGGGACCACCACATACAGCACTTTCCTGCCAAGAAGTTTTGCAGAAACTTTCAACCCAATGCTGATGGATGACTGGGGATAGTTTTGCAGATTCTCTATAGTAGCTGATGGACATTCTGTCCAGGAGGCTACTGCAGAACACATTGAATAAGCCCTTGGAAACAGTTTATCTGCAGCTGAATATGTTTCAATTATACAGCACTCAATCCACTAGACCACATGTGTCA